AATATCATGTTACAAAATGTTTTCGTTCATGAATTATAAAAATTTAAGTTTGGATCGTGCACTTTCACATCTATGTTCAAACATGTGTGTGACAGTTAAGGGGTTAAATATATATATATGCATTTCTGTATCACAAATTAATGCAAGATTTTAAAATGTTCCGATATTAAACAAGTAATTGCATATATTGTCATGTAAAAGAGTAAACAATTTCTGCAGTGTTGAAATGGTCAATATTTATGCAACAGCTCCAAAGAACCGAAGGGTCTCATTGCTATGAAAATACTGTAATGCACATTGTAAAAATGTATTTTGTAAAACTGTACATTTGTAGAAGTTGTTTCCATCAGGAATATGGCAATAATTTGTAAATCTGTAAAAGCAGTTACAATGGGGCCAGTCACAAACTAGGGCTAGATGGGTAATCTGTGTTACGTAATATTAAAATACAAATCCCACATTCTTGCACTAGTCCAAAAGATTTCTGAAACCTCAACAAGACTTCAGAAATAATCCAGTGTACTGTACCGAAAGACATACTGTATATGAGGTAATTAATTATTATATACACACAAGGAACTCTTAAGGATTTCAATTTACTTCAAAAATGTACACCCATTTTTTTTTTTAGAATGGATGATATTACATCTCATGTTAATCAAAGTTACTAAACACAATAAATAAGCCCTAATAAGTCAAAAAAATAAACGCTGTTAAGTGTTTATCAGAAAAGGCACATCTGAGATCTGTTTAGTGTACACGTCATCTTGTTCCTATTATGTTTTACTTCTCTCTTAATTCAATCTTCTTACAGGACTTTTGCATTTTCATTGTAAATGTTCACTGAACTCCTACGTAAAGGTTCAATTAATCTTGAAATAATACATGTATGACATCTTTGTTGTTAAACTGACCTTCTCTGCGTTCTTTATTTGTTATCCGTCAATCATATCCCACATCACCTGTCTTTGGCAGCAATATGATTAGGTTTGTTCTTCCATTTAAAAGCTTGCAGGGGCTTATTTCAGCTGATGTCAACCCTGAGATGATCTGTCTTAGGGAGAAGAGGGGATTTTTCTCCTTGAGATGATGACACGTCAGTCCTGCTGGCCTTTTGTGACCTGAAACACATAAAAAATGATCATGCATAATCAACGGTTTCCTATGACTATTTTCTGATTATACCCCTTTTACCAACTTAAGAAATACTTCACAGAATGAATGATTCAAATATTTATATATTTATAATATTATTTAATTTTAATGAATATCTACCATATTGCTGAATAAAGTAATACAAATATTTAAAAAAAACTGCTTACTTCTTTTGTATGTCCTCTATTGTGAAATATATTACTTGTAGTAAGGCCTAAAGAATGTTTGGGTAAACAAGTCAATAAATTAATATTTATCATCAAAGTACATACAAAACTTACGGAGCCCCGCCGCACATGACATGCAAGAAAAAATAAATAAATTGTGTGCACGATTTACTAATTCGTTCCCTCGATGTACTAAAACGTGCACACGATTAGTATTTCGTTCCCTCAATTTGCTAAATCGTGCACACAATTTACTAATTCGTTCTCACGATTTAGCAAATCGAGGGAACGAAATAGTAAATCGTGTGCACAATTTATAAATCGAGGGAACGAATTAGTAAATCGTGCACACGATTTATCCTACTATTTTTTTCCTGCATGCCATGGCTCCGTAAATTATAAATCGAGGGAATAAATT